TTCCTGCTTTGCATCTCTTCTGGTCCCTTGTCCAAGGAAGGCATGTGGGTGAATGGATGGTGCCAGAAAAGGCAGCAGGCATGGAGGTCAGACTGTACCCTCTTGTTGCTCTCAGTATTTCTGACAGTCCTCTGCAAATCCCCAGATCTAATTTCCCCTGTGCTGGAGGCTGTTACCTTAGGGCTACATTCATTTGCTATTTCTTGAGCATTTATTATGTGCTGGATACTGTACTAGGTACATAGATGAAGAGAAGAATAGGATAGGGCCCCTGTTCTGAAGGAGTGCATGGACTAAAGCTGGAAGATGACTGATATGTGTCAATACTATGTGTCAAGTGTCATAGCCAGAATGCTCACCGTGCGATAGACCCCAGAGGAAGTACTCAGTCCACTGGGGGAGACATGATAGTATCAGGGAAGGCTAACTCCACTGCTTAGAAAATACTGTCCTAGGTTAAGTTCAAAACACCCATTTTCATTAGAGGTGAAGGAGGAATTTTGATAGCCATGAGCAAAATGTTCCCTCCATCCCACCTGCAGGAACAACAGGAATTTTCCTGGATGTTCATATGATATGTCCCTTGAGACCTTATCTAAGAAGAGGAGGCAGCAACTGCATGCTGAGCCCCCAGGAGTATGTGCCAGCCTGGGGCTGGCCAGTAGTTCCTCCTGACCTCATGTACCACCCAATGTGAGCTCAGACAGAAGGGGCCTTGGGGCTGCTGTGCGTAGCTGCCCACTCTGGCTTCTCTCTGCTGGTTAATGCTTGACTCTCCCTGTGTCCTGAGGCCTTTGCCAGCAACACCTCCTCACTCCCATGAACTGTGCTATTTGCTATGAGCCAAAGATGCACACTGACCCACAAGCCAGGTGGGCAGAGGATCTATAGACACTTATAAAAAAACAAATAATAAAGATTTAAAAATAGTCATAAAGAATAAGTACACGAGAAAGGAGTTCGATTTATAAGAGAACACACTTCTAATTGCCCTATGGGTTGGAGACAAGAGGGAGAATTGGGAAGGGTTTGTGAAGGAGGGTTTTGAACAAGTTTGGGGGAAGCTGAGAGGGGACTGTGGGCACATCTGCAGCCCAGAGATGTTGACTCACCACAGATAACATGTTGGCCAGGGCAGTC